GATCAGATCTTGAAGAAGGCACGTGTCCCTGGCCCCATTCCCCAGAGCTGGGGACACGCAAACAGGGGCCCCACCTCCACCCAAGCTCAGGCCCTCATCGCCATCAGAGACAGCAAAGTTAAGAGAGTCAGCAGAGATCGGGGGAAGCAGTGGGGCAGCCAAAACCTGGAGCTGAGAGATCTCTGAGGGTCTCTGCAGTCCCGGTGATGATGGTGATGGTGGTGAGGAGGGTGGGGATGGGGGTGGGGATGACGCTGGGGATCCTGATGAGGGTGATGATGGTGGTGGTGGTGGTGTTTGCTGATGGAGGCAGTAGTGACGATACTCAAAACAGTGAACCTTTATTGAGCACTTACTATGTTCTTTTTTTTTATTTTTTATTTTTATTTATTTCTAGGAGAGAGAGAGAGAGACAGCGTGAGCAGGGTAGGGTCAGAGAGAGAGGGAGTCACAGACCGAAACAGGCTCCAGGCTCTGAGCTGGCAGTCAGCACAGAGCCCAACGCGGGGCTTGAACCCACAAACCACGAGATCATAACCTAAGCGAAAGTCAGACGCTTAACCGACAGCCACCCAGGCGCCCCAAGCACTTACTATGTTCTAAATAAGTATGTTAGCCTACTTTATCCTCACCACAACCCTGGGAGGTAGATGCAATTAGTATCCCCATTGTATAGAGGAGAAAACTGAGGCTCCAAGGGTTACTGGTATATAGTATTGGTAACTGGACCCACACTCTTAATAACCAGGCTATCCTACCTGGGAAATTATACAACAGAATCGTTTTGCTTCTGTATTAAAAAATAAAACAACCCACCCAGAAAAAGATATAAATTTAAAAAAAAAATTTTTTTTTTAACCTTTTAACTTCTGGAGAATGAAGACCTTGCCTCCTCTCAGGGACAGAAAGGAAATTTAGAAATCTAAGGACAGCAGTGCCCCCCCCCCCCCCCCCCCCCGCCTCCCCATGCCTGCCCCTCTACACTCCCCTCCTATATTGTAACTCGCACCTGCCATTCATCTCCTCTGCTCGAAAGTGAGCTCCCAGAGGGCAGGGACGTGGGTCTGGTTACTTCCACTGGTGCACGGCACACAGCAGGTACTCAAACATCTGACAAGGGATTTGGTCTCCCAGCAAGCCAAGCGCCCCCAGAGTCAGGGACCCAAAGCCAGGCTCACAGCCTCAGAAATCGCCTGTGGCCAAGCTGCTCATCGGGGATGACCAATGACGTCATGAGGGTGTCATGCCCCCCCCCCCGCCACCTGCAGGGACCCGCAGGCCGTCCTGCCCCTCCCTCATCCGACCACAGCGACTCTGGGCCTTCTCCCCTCCCCTGCGGCCCTGAAGCCACTCCACGGAGCCAAGACGGGGTCGAGGAGGCAGCAGCCTCAATCCAGGATGGGACAGGTGCCCACGGTGCCAGCAGGTTGAGGCAGGCAGAAAGGGGAGCCAGCTGCTTGGGGAGGCCGGGGCTCGTGTCATTAAGCAAGGACTAGGGGCTCACGCTGGGGCATCACCACGTCCCTCTGTCTCCCTATGACCCGCGCTTGTCCCCCGCCCAGGACCATGGCCTTTGCAGTTCCCCCGAGACACCCTCTCTGCTCTGTCCCACTCCCCGTGGCCAGATCCTCCTGTCATTCAAGCATCCCCAGCTCAGCAAGGCCATCAGCGACCACTCAGTCACTTTATCAGGCCAGTCGGCCTGTTCATTTGCTTCCTGGTTTCCTGCCCATCTTCTCCACCCCGTCATGGGGTGGACTGTAGCTCCTCGAAAGATATGCTCAAGTCCTCCCCCTGGTGCCTATGAGTGTGACCTTATACGGAAAGAGAGCCTTTGCAGACCCTCAGTGAAGTAAGATGGGGTCACACCGGAGCAAGGCGGGCCCCTAATTTGAGATGACTGGTCTCCTTACAAGAGAGAGACACACACTGTGTCATGTAAAGACGCAGAGCCATGTGGCAACAGAGCAGAGTGAACAGAAGCAGCTGGAGGCCAAGGGCACCGACAGTGAACAGCTGCCCCCGGAAGCTGCAGAGGCAGGAGGGACACCCCCCCACCGGAAAGGTTTCAGAGGGAGCACAGCCCTGCCTTGACTTCAGACGTCTAGCCTCTGGCACTGGGAGAGAGCACATTTCTGTCTTCACAGGGCTTTGTTAGGCCGGCCGGGAAAGCTAGCTCACGCCTCAGCCACCCTTTCACCCCTGCCCTCATGACCTCAGCTCGCTCATCCCACGGCCGGTTCTGAGGCCGGCACCTGGGGTGTGGGTGCTCGAGGTTGCGGGAGAGACAAATCGCTGAGCTCACACGTCTCTGTCCAGATGCAGTGGCCCCGGACGTCCACAAAGGAGGTCCCGGGCCTGTCAGGCTGGGCTTGCTGGTCTCAGGCTCCAGCATCTCCCCCGACCCCCGCCAGTGCAGGGACCAGCGGGTGACGACACCCCTCACGCCCAGAGGGTGCGGGCTGGCGGTCCTGGAGCAAGTTCCTGCTCACGAGAAGCAGCAGCATCCCAGCCAGAATCCCGGGGACCAGCGGCCAGGGAGGGCCACCGCGTTCCTGCACGGGGACTCGGAGAAAGAGACGCACAGGTGACAGCAGCCAACCCTTGCAGATGTGCTCAGCCAGACCCGCTCAGAGCAGCCACATTCCAGAGGTTAAGCCTGTTGCTGGAGATTCCTGAGGCAGGTGTGGGGAGCCGGCCAGGAGAGCTGGGGAGGGGGCGGGGCTGGGAAGGGAGCAGAGCGGGGCGGGGCCGGGGAAGGGCGGGGCTGGGGCGGGGGCGGGGCTGGGGCGGGGGCGGGGCTGGGGCTGGGGCGGGGCTGGGGCGGGGGCGGGGCTGGGAAGGGAGCATAGCGGGGCGGGGCCGGGGAAGGGCGGGGCTGGGGGCGGGGGCGGGGCTGGAAAGGGAGCAGAGCGGGGCGGGGCAGGGCCGGGGAAGGGCGGGGCTGGAGAGGGAGCAGAGCGGGGCGGGGCCGGGGAGCGAGCCCGGCTGGGGAGGGGCGGGGCTCACTCGGGGTTTCTGCACCAGCCGGGCAGATGGAGCTCTATCGACCTATAGCCTCTGGGTACCTGCCTCGCCTCCAGCTAATCAGCCACTAATCAGCCACTGCGAGAAAAGTCAAACATCTGTTTTTGTTCAAGAGTCCCGGGGGGAATCAGTGAGAGTTCAGAGCAAACACATGTCACACCGCCGGGAATGAACTGCATGCTCCTTCCTGGGAGTCTGGGGGCCGGGGCACCTGGGTGTCTACAGTAAGATTCGGAGCGACTGCCAGGACCGGTGCCACCTCTCCCACAGCACACACCACGTCCCTTCCGGTACCGTCCCCTCCAGACGGTGTGTAGGGCACTGCGTCCAGGTGGGGGCTCTAAAGTGAAAATTAAGTCCACACTGAGATACCACTTATCGCCCATCAGACCGACGAGGCCCGAACAGCTGGCTAAGAGACGGCGCCCCGAGCGCGTGGGAAACAGCCCTTGTCTCCTGCGTTGCTGGTCTAAACGGACATGACCTCCGAGGACGGCCGCCAGCGAAATCTCTCAGTTGCCAATGCGTGTGCCCTCGGACCGCACAAGTCTGTTTCTAAGACATGCACGAGCGTGAAATAACGTGTCCCTGAAAATAATGTGCCGTCCGCCTGTAACACAGGAACGGAGAGAACCCACTACGCGTGTGCAGGGGATTGGCTAAATCGCTCCCTGCACAGCCCACGCGATGGGAAGTACGCGGTGGCGACGAGAAAAAGGACTTCTGTGTCCACGCCCCCGGGACCGCCCAGGCTCGCTGTGACGCGGCGAAAGCAGGTGCAGGAGGGAGAACATGGTAACATCTGCAAAGACACGCGCGCACGCGCACGCGCGCACCTATCTGCGGGCTCGAGGAAGCTCAGGGCACTGAGCCGGGGGCGCCTGAGGGAAGGGCCCCTGGGGCTCAGAGCTGGGAGGCAGCTTCAACGTTCACGATCGATTGATCGTGGCTCTTGCTTCTTTTGAATTTTATGACGTCAGCGTGTCTTACCTATTGAAACATGTATCTTGAAAAGAAACTTTTTTTATGCCCCAGGCTCAAGTCCTAATTTGGCCACTTTCTCTCTGGGCGAGGGAGGCAAATGGCACACCCTGTGCTCCCAGCTCTTAATTCTCCCCAAGTCACAGATGAGTCACCGCCTCAGGGGGTTACTGTGCGCTCGGAATGAGGCTACACATGCAAACCAGTGGAAACGCCCAAGAAAGAAAAGTTTGGTTTTCTTAGTATTTAAGACGACCCCTGACATGGAGGTGCCTGAGAAGGTGGTGACGGTGCCTAGATCCCTAGTGTGGTGACAGGCCCCTTTTCCCCATGAAGCTATTAATCCCTCCATTAGTTACTGAGGACCAGCATCGGGCGATGATAAAAGATGACAGAAGTCCTCTGGCCGGAGACATCCCGAGAGCCAGGCCTCTGGCTGTCACCACCTGGGTCCCGTCCACCTCCGGAACGTACTATTGTCCTTGTTGGACGCTCCAGCCTGTCTCTCAGCCTTCTAACCTCTTGGGAGACTCACAACTATCAACGCAAGATTCTGGTTCCTGACTTCGTGATTCTCCGGGTTATTTTTGGGTCGGAGGCTCCGCTCCCCTAACACTTTATTACAAACGGCCACCTTCATCGCTTGCCTGACATCACAGGCTGGGGCTCAGGAGACAGGGACTCCCCAGAACGGTTCTTCATCTTCCCTACCCCCATTCCCTCGGTGCCCCTAAACGCAGGCCAGACCCAGACCACCCACAAATACCCCCGTGGCTCACGTGGCTATCTCCGATTCCTAACTCGATTTGCTAACCAGCTAGTTTTAAGAAATAGCGACCTACACCATAGCCTTGGCTGAAGAAATAAATTCCGAGTAGGGGGCCCGGCACGTGGTTGGTGACCCCTGACGGCAGCAGCCACGACTGGCCCCATCCTCTGGCCCCGCCCCCTTGGTCCTCCGCCGCCTCCCAGGGACCAGTGGGGGCACCCACCTGCCCAAGTGCTCCTGCAGCACCTGGTAAACGCTGATCCGGAACGTCTCATTATCGAAGCGTTCCCGAACGTAGTCCTTGTAGATGCGGAATTCGGCTGCGGTCACAGCTTCCCCTTCCGGGATCTTGGAAAGATCGAAGCGGAATTCCCGATGGTGGTAGCGCGGGTGGAAGAACTCTCTGTCGTGCTCCACTAGGAAGAGAGAAGGCTCGTTAGTCACTGGCTCTCGCGCCCGTCAGTCCAGGCCTGCCCCCCGCCAGACATCCCAGTGCCGCTGCGGTTCCGCGCTGACCTGGTGCAGTCGCGGGGGGGGGGGGGGGCAGCCGCAGACCCTGTGGTCACCGTGAACACCAGCTACAGCTCTGCGTCAACCCACTGGGAAGAGAGGGGCACAGACCCAGCCTCCCAGAGACCCTGGACAGACTCGGGTTCACAGGAGCTCAGACCTGGGTTCAAATCCAGGCTCCACCACTAACGAGCTGGCCTGCACAGGGAACCAAGGAATCTACCTGGACCTCAATTTTCTCATCTAAAAATGGGATGATATTCCTCCTTCGTAGGTTATTGTGAGAGTTAAGTAACCAAATTCTCATAAGCAGTTTTTTTTTTTGGGGAGGGTTGATAACGTTTATTTATATTTGAGAGAGAGAGAGAGAGAGCATGTGATTCTGTGAGTGGGGGCGGGGAGGCAGAGAGAGACTGAGACAGAATCAGAAGCAGGCTCCAGGCTCCGAGCTGTCAGCATAGAGCCCAACTTGGGGCTCGAACTCACGACCTGTGAGATCGTGACCTGAGCCGAAGTCAGACGCTCAATCGACAGAGCCCACCAGGTGCTCCCGAATTCTCATAAGCAGCTTAACCTCCCATAAGGCTCGACAACTATGAGCTACTATGAGTGAAGACAGACCTCATGCTATCTACTGCGGGATCCCTTGGGGCCCAGTGGTGCTCAGCCCTGGCTACACGTGACAATCACCATGGGCACTTTGAAAAAGTGTCCCAGTGGTGAGCGGGATGTGTGTAATAACTGGCCTTCTGGGGCCCGACCTGCAGTGTTTGCCAGTTTCCACCCTGGTAGATTTCCAGCTACCATGAAATCACTGAAGATGGGGGTTGGAAACTGGCACACGGGGCCCCAGACCCCACTGTCCTCACCCCCCTCCAAACCAACTGACTCTGCATCTTTGGGGAGCGACCCAGAAACCTGTACTTCTTAAAACACCCCAGATGTTTCTATTTTTTAATGGTCACTTATTTTTGAGAGACAGAGAGAGTGCAAGCAAGGGAGGGGCAGAGAGAGAAGGGGACAGAGAATCCGAAGCAGGTTCTCGGCCATCTCGAACTCACTCCCGAACCGCGAGATCATGACCTGAGCCAAAGTCACATGCCTCACTGACGGAGCCACCCGGGCGCCCCACCCCAGAGGTTTCTAACGGACACCAGGATTTACAATCACAGCCTGAGACTAAAAGCAGAAAGAGAGGTGAATGGCAAGGTTAGGGGATGGGGCTTTTAAAAATGACTTCTGGATGACGTAAGGCAAAGCCCTCAGTGCTTCTGCTTTCTCCTGGCGGTGATTCTAGACTAAGGTAGAATACCCATGTCATCAATAATAAATGCTAAAATGGATATAAGCCCAAAAGGAGTGTTTCTGGAAGCCGATCTGTGATTCCCATGGTTCACGCATCCTCTGGTCCAAAAGGGAACAGGGGTGAAGCCGGGAGTCCTCAAGGGCTGGAATGATGCAGGAAGGCCAAGTTCAGGCAAGTGAGAAGCATCTGCAGATACCTTTCTTCTAGGAGGCACAGCCCATACCTGCTTCCCGCCTGGGCATGGGCCTGCGGGTGGGGAGAGACCAGACAGGCAGGGAAAAGAGTGGACCCGGCTTGGCCAGAAGAGAGGAGAAACATGCCCAGCTCCGTCTCCAGCTTCGGCTTAATGACCTCCAGAAGCTCTTAGGCCGGGCCAGGGCTACCACGGCTGCGAGCAGGGCGTGAACGCCTTTGGGGAAGAAGGTTCCCAAGGCTGGCAGCCTAACAGGTCTCCGTTAAAAAAAAAAAAAAAAATTCTGTTTTAAACCTCAAGAATCGTTCTAAAAGATACTGGGATGGGGGCAGGGGTGTTGAGGAATTATCCAATCATGAGGCTGTCCCCCACCGGGCAGAGGGAGCGGGTGAAGCCCTCGGGGCCAGGGGACTCTGGCGGGGCACAGGAGTGACCCTGTCTCTGGAGAGATCTGGGAAGGTGACCTCAGGAACGGCAGTTCCTGGAATCTTCGGCCACATGTGGAGAGCTGGCCACAGGAATGACCTCTCCAAAACTACGGGGTCTGTCTGCCCTTGACTTCCCTTCTGACCCCGTCTACCTACAGGAAAGGCCGAGCTGGGTGGCAAAGAATGGTGGTGGGGGCGTCGCCGGTCCCCCACTCTGATTTATGCAGAAGGCAGGGAGGGAGGGGTCTTCGCAGCAGCCTCTAGGAAGTACAGCCCACTGGGGATCAAGTGAGCTTGGCCGGGGGCACGGGGAGGGGGCATAGCGAAGGGCCTCGACTCTGCCACCGGGGCCAGTCCTCTGTCATTCTTCTAGCTCATCCAACCTTCAGGTCACCCGAGGGGGCGAGCGCAGTGCCACTTCGGTAGGGAAGGCACCTGAGACCCAAGAGGTGTGGAGTGGTCTGCCCGGGGCCGAAGAGCTGAGACTCGAACCCGAGCCCCACCAAATCCTAGCCACGCATCTCAGTGGCTGAGCCAACAGCCCCGTGAGAGTAGTTCGTGGGCCTGTTGCCAGAACATTCGCGGTGCAGGACAGCATGCGCCCCATACGCGCTGGTTCTGTGCGTGGTCCCAGTGAGCCTCCCCGAGGAGCCTCCTCCCAGATGGACGGAGCATCACCACCCAGCACCCCTGTGCTCTCCCAGCTTCTCAGGCCACAGGTTGGTTTTCCTTGTTTTTGAACAGTATAAACAGGGAATGATACGGTACGTATTATTTTGTACTCAGCTTCTTTTCCTTTTTCTTTTTGTTTTTGAGAGACAGAGGCAGAGCATGAGCGGGGGAGGGGCAGAGAGAGAGGGAGACACAGAATCGGAAGCAGGCTCCAGGCTCTGAGTTGTGAGCACAGAGCCCGACGCGGGGCTCGAACTCAAGAACCGTGAGATCATGACCTGAGCCAAAGTCAGACGCTGAGCCCCTGGGTGCCCTGTACGTGGCGTGGTTCATCCCACATCACGGTGGACGTTCACCCAGCCTTATCGCTGGATAACTCTCCACACCTTGGTGCACCATGGTTCACTCATCCATGCACCGTTCATGGGCACTTGGGGGAGCTTCCAATCTGGGGCTCTCTGAGCGGCACTTCCCTGAACCCTCCGGTGCCTTATCACCTGTACTTTGGTGGATGTGGGCAGGCGTAGCCAGAAGTCGAATTGTGTATGCTCCCCTTCAGTGGGAGTGCCACACTGTTCTCCCGAAGCATCGCCCTGGCTGTGCCAGGAGGAGCCGCGGAAGCAAATGAGTTCACCCTACAAAGGAGATGGGCACAGTGTGGGGCGCCTCTAGTGCTTTCCTGCAGAGGACTGGAGAGTGGCCCTGCACCCTGCGAGCAGTGTGTGCGCCCACGGGACCTCTGCTCTGGCTTCCCGGTGAATGAGCTTCTGGTGACCGTGCATGCGCTGCCCCCCCAGCCCCGCCACCCCACCCCATCTGAGGTCACCAAAGGACCATCTCGTAACTAAGTGGAAAGGATGTTCGATGGCCTTCACCTTGCCAGACCTCCAGGCTGCGGCACGCAACACTCAGTTCTTCCTGCTTCCAAAGACCTCGCCTTCCTGTGGCTCCTTTCCCCCATCTCTCTGGCCACTCCTTGAAACATTCCCTGACACGGTCCTCTTTGAGTCCCACGGGGCTGTGGAATACGAGAGGAGCATCCCACAGGCCACTCCTCCCTGCTCCCCCCACACTGATAGACCACACAGATGAAGCCTCCATTTCCAACCACCAGCTCCTGTCCTCCCCCGGAGAATGGGGGTGCAGCACCCCCAGCTTGCAACAAAGATGCCTGAAAGACCCAGAAGAAAGAAAAAAAAAAAAAAGCAATGTTCATGAAGCAGCAGCTCTGGGCACTTTCCGGCATCATCTGATCAAACCCGGTGAGGCAGGATTGATCCCCATTTTACAGATGAGGAACCGGAGGCTCAGGGAGACAGGTACCTTGCCCAAGATTACAAGTTAAGTGAACGGCTGGATTCCAGAAGCCCAAACCCTTGACCTTCACACTTTCTGGAGTCAGGTGAGTTCAGCTCAAATCTCGGTTGTGTCTCTATCCGATATGTGGTCTTGGCCGAGTTACTTAACCCTCTGCATGCCTCCCCTTGCCCCAAGGGTACAATAAGAATGGCCCTTTCTCACGGGGCTGTACAGAGTCAGCACCTAACAACACTGCTAGGCAAACGGAACCAATTAATGTCAAGGGCCATTCAAACGATGAGTCGGGAGAAGGAAACTCCGTGCAGAAGAAGCCTTATGGGCGAGTGGGTATTTGACATCTGTACTTGAAAAAGAGCTCAGTCAGACCAAACACAAAAGAAATGTGTGATTAAGCATGACGTTAACGCAGGTGCAATCACTAAAGTCACACCCTGTGAAGACAGAAAACACCGATAATAATCACAAAAATACAGCAGGTATACATATAACCTTTTAAATGTATAAGATAAAAATGTATCTTAACTGTTAAGACAATAAAGCTATCAGGGTTATATTATACAGTTTTTTTGGTTCAAAAGATACAGGCACAGAGAGTCCAGCTAAATTTCTTGCAAACGTTTGCCGACTCTTGGGGGCGGCTTTCTGAACAAATTGCCTTCACTAATGATTTTAAGACAATGAGCAGCATAAACCACACGGACCTCTCGCTCTTCCTGAAGCCACATCACTATGGGCTCTAAAAATAATTTTGTGATTTATCAAAGAAAGAACAGTCATTAAAAAAAAAAAAGGCAGTTAATAATTCCAAGTCCAAACCAAACTCCCAATCTCGTATTTCCGAGGCTTCCATTTTACACAGAAGTCACTCCATGGCACAGAATCTACACCCTTTCAATCTGAGGGGTCAAGATGGTTCAGCTCTCACCATGAAAGCAGAGAGACGCATGTACTTTGAGGGAGAAAATACATCTTTACATTTCCTTCTTA